ATTTTTAAGTTTACAATACAGTATTGCTAACTATAGGCACAATGTTGTACAGCATATCTCTAGAACTTATTCATCTTGAATAACTGAATCTTCATACCCATTGACTGGCACTTCCCCATTTCCCCCTTCCCCCAGTCCCTGGAAACCACTATTCTACTCTTTGTTTATGAGTTTGACTATTTTAGATACTTCCTATAAATAAAATCATGCAGTATTTGTTCTTCAGTAACTGGCTTATTTTACTTAGCATAATGTCATCAAATTCCATCCATGTTGTATATTGCAGGATTTTCTTCTTTTTAAAGGTTAAGTAATATTATCTGTATATGATACATTCTCTTTATCCATTCATCTGTTGATAAATATTTAGGTTGTTTCCACAACTTGGTTTTTGTAAATAGTGCTGAAAATGGACATAAGAATGCTAATATTTCTTTGAGATCATGATTTCAATTATTTTAGGTGAGATGCTGCAACATTTTCATATGATATTCATATGATATATATCATATATCATACTCATATGATATATATCACATATATATTTATTTGTTTGGTTTGGTAGTTTTATATATATATTATATATTTTAAGACTTTATTCATTTGAGAGAGACATTCAGAGACTGAGAGAGCACAAGCATGGGGAGAGGCAGAAGGAGAGGGAGAAGCAGATGGCCCACTGAGCTGGGAGCCCGACATGGGGCTTGATCCCGGGACCTGGAGACCATGACCTGAGTCAAAGGCAGATGCTTAACCATCTGAGCCACCCAGGACGCCTGGTAGTTATATTTTTAATTTTGGGGTAATTGCCATACTGTTTTCCATAGTTGCTGCACCATTTTATATTACTGCCAGTAGTAGACAGGATTTCAATCTCTCCACATCCTTGCCAACACTTTTTTTTTTAAACTAATAACCATCCTAGCTGGTGTGAAGTGATGTCTCATTTAGTTTTGATTTGCATTTCCTTGATTATTAGTAACACTGAGCATCTTTTTATATCCTTGTTGGCTATTTTTGTATCTTCTTTGGAGAAATGTCTATTCAAGTCTGTAGCTCCTTTTTCCAATCAGGTTATTAGTTATTGTTTTTGTTGTTTTGCTATTGATCTGTAGGAGTTCTGTATATATTTTGGAAATTAACTGCTTATCAGATATATAGTTTGCAAATATTTTCCCCTAGACCATAGGTTGCATTTTCACACTGTTGATTTTTTCCTTCACTGTGCAGAACCTTATTAGTTTTTTTTTTTAATTTTAGTTGCTTGTGCTTTTGGTATAATATCCATGAAGTCATTGCTGAGACCAATGTCATGAAGCTTTTTCCCTATGTTTTCATTCTTTTTTTAAAGATTTTTTTAAAAGATTTTATTTATTCATTTGAGAGAGAGAGACAGAGACAGAGACAGAGAGAACACAAGCAGGGGGAGAGACAGAGGGAGAGGGAGAATCAGACTCCCTGCTGAGAAGGGAGACCAACATGGGGCTCAAACCCAGGACCTGGAGATCATGACCTAAGCCAAAGGCAGATGCTTAACTGACTGAGCCACCCAGGCCCCTGACTCCTATGTCTTATGTTGAAGTCTTCATCTGTGTTGATTTTCTTTTAATTTTATTTTATTATGTTATGTTAGTCACCATACAATACATCATTAGTTTTTGATATGGTGACCCACAATTCATGGTTTTTGTATAACACCCAGTGATCCATGAAGTACATGCCCTCCTTAATACACATCACCGGGCTAACCCATCTCCCCACCCCCCTCCCCTCTAAAACCCTCAGTTTGTTTCTCGAAGTCCATAGTTTCTCATGGTTCCCCTCTCCCTCCTATTCCCCCCCTTCATTTTTTCCTTCCTTCTCCTAATGTCCTCCATGCTATTCCTTATGTTCCACAAATAAGTGAAACCATATGATAATTGACTTTCTCTGCTTGACTTATTTCACTTAGCATAATCTTCTCCAGTCCCATCCATGTTGATGCAAAAGTTGGGTATTCATCCTTTCTGATGGCTGAGTAATATTCCATTGTATATATGGACCACATCTTCTTTATCCATTCATCTGTTGAAGGGCATCTTGGCTCTTTCCACAGTTTGGCTATTGCGGACATTGCTGCTATGAACACTGGGGTGCATATGGCCCTTCTTTTCACTACATCTGTGTCTTTGGGGTAAATATCCAGAAGTGCAATTGCTGGGTCATAAAATTATTGCAGCTTTGTAATATGTTTTCAAACCAGGAATTGTGATACCTCCAGGTTTGTTATTGTTTCTCAAAAATGTTTTGTCACTTCTTCTCAATTTTAAAGGAAGCATGATAATGATTGTGTGATTTCAAAGCCCTTGATTTTGACTTTGGGCTCTAGGCACATGAATAGACATTAGTGTGCCCCTATGGAATGCTTGCACATATCAGAGTCAGAACCCTTTGCTAAGAACATTGAATCCGAGCAACAATAGGCAAGGGGCATAGTCAAATTCATGCATTCAAAATGTTTACAGAGTATTGGGCATCATATCAGGTGCTGAGCAAGCAGCAGTGAATAAGACATGCCCTTGCTCTCCACAAGTTTACAGTCTAGGGATGCTTTTGCAGAATGAAATGAAGAAAGAAACTTGGCTGACTTTCCCAGGGTTTCAGCTTGGGTGGCTTTGGATGGAAGTGTCATTCACCAACATGGATAATCTTAGAGCAATTTGAGAGGGGAAGACATGAGTTTGATTTTAGATATGTGAGATGTGAGGTGCTTGTGGGATACTGAAATATGAAAGCAAGATTTCCCAAAATATTAGGTCATGATGGAGCAATGTGGGCATTCTTGGCATAAGATAGGTCTTTGAGGCTATGAGAGTAGATTGCATTAATGCAGGGCTCATGGATCACACAAAGAAAGACTGAAGTAAGAGTATGCCCATAAATAGTCCAAGACATTGTACTGATAGAGGAGCAGGCTTTGAAAAGAACTAAAGAGAAACAAACTTCCAAGGATGCAACACGGGTGTTCAATGGGCAGACCTGGGAGAGAAAATTAGAAACACTCTGAACTTCTTTATTAGCTTCAATTGTGTGTGTGTGTGTGTGTGTGTGTGTGTGTGTATTCCATAATATTTTCTATTGATAAGACCATGTAATCTATAAATACAGACAGTTTTACTTTTTTGTTCTAAATTTGATGTATTTTATTATTTTTCTTTCTTACCCAACTATTCTGGCTAGACCTCCAGTATAATGTTGAATAGAAATGATGAGAGGGTACACCATTGCTTTGTTTCATTCTTAACTCTAGGTTTTTCTAGTCCTTTTTTAGATTGAAGAAGTTCCTTTCTATTTCTAGTTTGTTGAATTTTGTTGTTAAATCTCAAAAGGGTTTTATATTTCATCAAATGTTTTCATGTTTCTATTGTGATAAACATACGGATTATGTCCTTTATTCTATTAATATCATTTTTTACATTAATTAATTCTCAGATGTTATACTAATTTGCATTTCTTGGATAAATTACACTTTTAAATTATTGAACTATAGTTAATATAGTTACATCCAATGTTACATCAGTTTCCTGTGTACAACAAAGTGATTCAAAAGGTCTATACATTATGCTATGCTCACCATCTGAGACCATAGAACACTATAATAATACCATTGACTATGTTCCTTTTATCCTTGTGACTTATTTATTTCATAACTGGAAGCCTGTATCTTCCACTTCCTTGCATCCATTTTGTTTATCTCCCACCCCCATTCTCTGGCAACCATCAGTTTTTCTTTTTACTTACGGGTCTGTTTCTGCTTTTTGTTTGTTTATTCATTTATTTTTTTAGATTTCACATTTAAGTGAAATCATATGATATTTGAATTTTTTTGTCTGACTTATTTCAGTTACCATAATACTCTCTAGGTCCATCCATGTTGTCACAAATGGCAAGATCTTATCCTTTTTTGTGTGTGTGTGGTTGAGTAATATTTCTTTATCCATTCATCTATCAGAGAACACTTGGGTTGCTTCTACATCTTGGTCATTGTAAATAATGCTGCAATAAACATAAGGGTGCATATATATTTTTGAATTAGTGGGTTTTTGTTTTTGTTTTTGTTTTTGTTTTGGATGGTGTCAATGCCCAGTATTGGATTACTGGATCCATGCTTATTTATTTATTTTTTTTAGGAGCCTCCATACTACTTTCCACAGTGGTTGTATCAATTTACATTTCCCCCAACAGTGCATAAAGGCTTTCTTTTCACCACATCCTTGCCTACATTTGTTCAAATTACTTGTCCTTTTGATTCCAGCCATTTTGACGGATGTAAGATGATATTTCAGTGTGGTTTTGATTTGCATTTCCTAATGTTAGTGATATTGTGCATCTCTTCATGTGTCTATTGACTGTATGTCTTCTTTGGAAAAATGTCTATTCAGGTCTTCTGCCCATTTTTAATCAGATTATTATTATTATTATTTATTATTATTTTGTGTGTTGAGTTGTGTAAGTTCTTTATATATTTTGCACATTAGTTCCTTATTGGATATATCATTTGTGAATATCTATTCCCATTCAATATGTTGCTTTTTTGCTTTATTGATGGTTTCCTTTGATGAAATTGCACTTGGTTTTGATATATAATCTTTTTTATATATTGCTGGACTTACTTTGCTACTATTTTCTTGAGGATATCTGCATTTATATTTATAAGAGATATTGGTGTATAGTTTTCTTTTCTGGTGACATCTTTGTCTTGTTTCCATTTCAATTCTGGTCTTATTTTCTCCCTACTCTCTTGTGCTATTATTGTTATACAAATTACATCTTTATAGAGCCTAAATCAATCCATATAACATTTTAATAATTGCCTCATGTTGTTGTCTTTTATACTAGATTAAAGAGTTACAAAAAATACATTTATAATGTCTTTATATTTACCCATGTAACTGTCTTTACTGGTGCTCTTACTTCTTTTGTGAACATTTGAGTTATTGTCTAATGTCTTTTCATTTCAGCCTGAATGAATTTCTATAGTATTTGTTTGTAAAGTAAGTGTGCTAGTGACAAATTCTATTTTTGTCTATCTGGGACATCTAAATTTCTTTTCTGTTTTTGAAATACAGGTTGACAGTCTTTCTTTTTAGCAGTTTGTATATGTCATTCCATTTTCTTGTAGGTTCCATTTTTTTATGATAAGACAGCTGTTAGTCTTATGAGGAAATCTTTTACATGATGATTTTTTTTTCTTTTTCAAAATTTTCTTGACAGGGGCACCTGGGTGGCTTACTTGGTTGGACATCAGACTCCTGGTTTCAGCTCAGGTCATGATCTCATGGGTCATGGGATTAAGGCCTGCATCATCGTGTTCTGCACTCTGGGGAGTCTGCTTGAAGATTCTCTCTCTCTGTCCCTACCCCCACTCAGTCTTCCCTCCCCCCAAGAACAAATAAATAAATCTTTTAAAAACATTTTTCTTGACGGTTTTACTATGATGTGTTAAGGTATAGATGTGCGTGAGTTTATTCTAATTGAAGTTCACTGAGGTTCTTGGACATGCAGATCAATGTTTGTAATCAAATTTAAAAGATTCTAGTAATTATTTCCTCAAATATTCTTTCTGCATCCCCCCCTTCTGGGATTCTTACTGTGCATAAAATACTTAATGGTATTCCAAAGGTCTCTGAGGTTTGTTCATTTCTCATTACCCTTTTTTTCCCCTGATTTTCATATTATATAATTTCATGTGACTCATCTTCAAATTCACCTATTCTTTCTTCTGTAACTCAAATCTGCTGTTGTGCCCCTCTAGTAATTATTTCATTTCAGTCATGTGCTTTCAACTCCAGAATTTCTATTTTTAAAAATAATATTTATCTTTTTGTTAATAGTCTATTTAATCAGTCACTGATGTCATATTTTACTTCTATTCTTTATATATGGTTTTCTTGAATTCTTTGAGCATAATTGTAATAGCTGTTTTAAAGTATTTTTCTAGAAAGCTCAACAATCTCTGTTCTCCCATGGAAAACTTCTATTGACTGTTTTTATCTTTCCTTTAAAGGGCCATATGTTTCTGTCTTTGTATGTGTCATATATTTTTGCTCAAATTTGAATCTTTTAGATACTATTATGCGGCAATTCTGGAAGCCATACCTCACTTCCCCCAATGGTTTGTTGTTGCTGATATTTTTATTGTTTTATTTCTGTCATGCTGCTTTTTTGTTCAGTGACTTTCCTGGACTAATTCTATAGAGTCTGGATTCCTTGTAGTGTGCAACCAGTGAAGTCTCTGCTCAGTTAGCTTGGTTGTCAGGTAACTATTGGACAGAAATTTCATTAAATTCCTTGACCAAAAATCTTCCAGCTTCTGCTAAGGTGCCCTCTGTGACTGTTGTGTCACATATGAAACATTAAGATAGTTTACAACTCTACTTTACCTTAGCAATACTGAAAGATTAAGGTCTTCTCAGGTCTTACTTGAGCATCTTTACAGCCTTACTGGAACCTCAAGAATATATCATAGCTCTTCAAAATATACCTTGCTTGCCTCCTGGTATCTTGTTTCTTAGATCTTATTTTTAATGTTTTGGCTAGGGTTTCATTTGTTCTAACTGGTATCACAGCCTCAAGCGGTTGTGACATTAAACAATTGTCATTAGTGTTTTGATAAATGCTTTAGGAATGAGGTTTTTTCCACAGAGCTGTAGGATATACCAAATAGTGACAATGTTCTCAGAATAGGACTTTCTGAGGCACTCAAAATCCAATTTTACTCTTTCTAATAGTTCTGAGGCTGCTGTTTTTCACAACAATTATAATTATGAAGCTCCTGGGTTTTGGGTTACCACTGAGCTTGGGAGAGGAGGATGAGGGTGTGGCAAGTTACAATCCATAACCCCCTCTGTTTTTACTGAGGTTCATCAGTTTTCCTTGAATAAATTCTCTTCAGATTGTTGCAAGCATTGGTTTATTTCTGAGGTTCTGAAAAAGTTTATTCGGATCATTTTTGATAATGCATTTGTTGTTTTTATGGGAGGCTAGCTTTACATAGGCTCCCAGTCTATCACCCCTGAATCCTGCTTTTTCTACCTTGTTTTCTTTACATGGCAACAATGTTAAGTTCATCTGATTATTGTGTTGTTGTTGATTAACATATTGTGTCACAATGTGTGCTCAAGATCACACACCTAATGAATGGCCTGGCTTTCAAATGCCTTACCTCCTTAAAGCAAATGATCTGCCCTTCATAGACTAGGAGAATCCTATGTCTTTTATATGAGTCACAGACATCTCTTCAGATCCCTAATTCATTTCTGCCTGCTTCATTGGTTTTGGTGACTATTAATCATGGAGAATCTTAGAAGTAACAGCACTGGCTCTTCTATTAATTCCGTTCATGCTTTCTGGCTTGCTCTAGTGTTTTGGGTGACTTTTCATTTTTTTTCCCCAATTGCTAAAAATGATGAAGTCAGCAGTCTAGCACAGCCATGCCTACACTAAAGTTATAGAAATATTACCCACAACTCATCTAGTAAACACATATTTCATTTTACTCCTGACCTTTACCTCAAAGGGAACAAAGTTTTAGTGATGCCATATTGCATATTCAGTGGAGTTCTGAGTTGTTCTCGGAGCCTACCTGCTTTGTACTAATAAAATTTGTGAAACTGATTCAGTGTATTTGTGGCATTCTTCAGTGAAGCTGCTCTGCATCCATGCATTTAGGGTGCTTTCCTGAACTTTCATTGGTCTGCTTTTTTTTTTTTTAAGTGGCAAGACAGACACCTGTGGGCTTTAGACTTGTGATTTTAACTCAATGAGAAGACCAGAAATTCCCTAACAAAACATGATTGTGATTTCTGTGGAGGTGCAGATCAGGGCCGCACTAAGTGTTAACAGGGTATTGGGAAGTGGTTTGTTTGGGATTCAGGAGGGTCAGGCTCACCTCTTTGTGTCCACAGCTCAGCTTGTGTTTGCTGTTTTCTCCTCATTGTCAGGTGTGTCTGCACTCTGCAGATATTTTTATTGTAGTGGGCAGTGAGATTGGTATCATCTTCAGCTATGTCTGAGAATGAGGGGACTTGTGGGGCTTTTGGCACCTATCCCTCTCAGACTTTATAAGTTCTGTTTTCTTACATTAATCTGATCAGTGACAGTAGACTGAACTTCCCTTATTCTGTTTTATTTTATTTTATTATTTTATTTTATTCTAATGTAATTAACATACAGTTATATATATGTATATATATACATATATATATAAGCTTTAAAAAATTTTTACTTATTTATTTGAGAGAAAGAGAGAGCACAAACAGGAGGGGCAGAGGGAGAGGGAGAAGCAGACTCTATGCTGAGCAGGGAGCCTGACACAGGGCTTGATAGATCCCGGGACCCTGGGATCATGACATGAGTCAAAAGCAGACGCTTAACTGACTGAGCCACCCAGGTCCCCCAATGGCAGGCATTTTAAAAGATGTGTTGCCCTGCTCCCTTCCTTCTAGATTTCCTCCCTGTCTCCCTCTCTTCTTCCTTCCCTTCCTCTGTCTTTGAATTTTGAATAATCACTGATCTGTGCAGGTCACTCTGCTTAATAATCAGGACACCAAGAATAGCAAAGGGATTGACATTAAGGAGCTCTTTAGTCTCGGGGGAGAAAGAAACAGGCAAACAGTTAATGACAATGCAATGGGGGAGACATGAGCACCATGGAGTGAGAAAGTACATGGAAGGTGAACCACACCTCACAGTCAGAGACAGAGGGTGTGGAGTCCTGGGAAAGACCCTGGGGTGGATCTATAAGAAGGAATAGAGACCATCATACAGACAAGAGGATAAGCAAGAATTAAGGCAGAGAGGACAGTGAAGTTCCAAAGAAAAGTGAGAACATGTATTTAGGGAGATAGTAAGTGACAAGGTGACCCAAAGTGGGCCTGGTGGAGAGAGTGGCCAAGATAAGGCCTGAAAGTTTGGGACAACCACAGGCTGAAGAGTATGTATTTCACTGGAGATCCAGAGGGGTCTCTGCAGGGATGAGGTGAATGGTGGAATGATCACTCCTTGGCAGTATTATGGCAGGGTTGTGGGAAGAGTTGCACACAGGTGCTGAAATCAAAGAAGTTATGCCAGCATAGCACTGTGGTGGTGGATGCTGGAAACATTGATCAGCCAAGCAGGTGGCACGGGTCTCTTCAGTTTGCATCTGTTGCAACAATCCCTTCACTGGACTGAGATCCAGTCTGTGGACCTCATGAGGGGTAGGATGACCCCTGGTGAGCTTTGATTTAGGGTGTGTGGGTATGGAGTAGAAGGACCAACTGCCCAGGTAAGGAGGGATGCAATGTGTTTCCTTCCTGATTGGAGTGGCCACTTATTTTCTCCTTTATATCTGACCTGGGAATCTAGCATTCATTGCCCAGGCTCTGCTCTGCTCTGGCTTTTCTCACAGGCCACAGGTTCTACAAGGGCTTTTCTCTGGGAGGATTTATCACTTTGTTTAGAAAACAGTACTGGGGGTTTGAGTTCAAACAGTATCCGTCCCTGAAGCTCAGTGAGTGCAATGAAGAAGGGTTCCAGCCTCTGTTTCAGTAAATGCCTATATTAAATAGAATAGCCTAAACATGCTGAGGAACAAATTAAACCTGTCCATCTCTGTGGCTTAACAGAACAATGGCTTATTTGTCACTCATTTAAATTCTGATGCTTGACCAGGCAATATTCCAGGCAAACTGTCTTCCACGAAGTTACTTAGAGACATAATCTGCTCCATCATGTGGCCCTGCCATGTTGACACACCCCTTGCCTGTGACAGCAGTAGAAGAAAGTACAAGGATCACTCCTACTGTGCTCTGTCTCTGCCCAGAAGTGATGCATGGATGCTGAAATTATTTTTCTTCCCACTCTACTGGACAGAAGTCGCACAACCCCATCTTGCAGCACAGCTAGGACTGGTCTCCCCATGTGCTGAGGAAGGAGAAGTAATCAGATACGGGTTAGCACTGAAGCTTTACCACACCATCCAAGGGTGACCATGACCTGGTCTCCTTTGCATTCACTGACTCAGCTCAGAATGTCCATGGTATTTGACATTACTTCTGCATTAGTTTTCTCCTGGGCATATTTTAGGCTATGTAAGATTTTTTCCCCTCTTATTTCTTTATCAGTATGATCCTTTCTGCTTAGTATCTTCCAGAAATCCTAAAACAATTTGGTTTGCTAATGATTCCCTTATTTTTTGAGCAGTGTTATTGATCCAAGTAAAGTCAGCTGAGGGCTTTTTCTCTATT